TTTTTTTTTTTGCGAATCGAGAATATTAGTACTGTAAAGTGGGGCCCCCGAGATGCGGACATGATTAGTTGTGGGGACTGTGACCATTATGCGTCAGAGTGCCTGCATGATGCTGAAGTGGATTTTTCCTTTGACTTCAATATAAGGTCATTTGTACAATCCCTTCTCATACTTTGCGGGGGGAAAAAACCGAATTGGAAAACGTGCCCGAAAAATGTAATAAAAATGCTACTTTAATCGTGAGATGGAGAAATAAAGCCGTATTTAGGCTTGAAGAGGAGTACAAACTGTATTCAAAAAATTTTACATATACAGTATACTACACACAGTTCATGTGAAATCGCTGATGTGAAGAGAAGGACAGAAGAAGCCTGTTTTTGAGTAGGTATCAAGGCGTGTTCGCTGACTCAAAAAGTTCCATTTAGTCAATTTTCAAAGTCCCTTCAACTTTGATTCAGAGCAGTGCAATTTAGTCAAAAAGAACCCCAAGTGTTTTAAAAGTGTCAAACAGAAATTCAACACTAAATTTATTTTTGTGTAACCACTTTGACGCTGCTTTTCGATCTCAGAAAATTGTGTTTTATATATGCCTCGCATCTTTTTTTTTGAAAGAAATGCATCACTTTTTATGTGCCAATCCACATCCAATCGACATTTTTATTAATGGTGCATTCTTTATGGATTGATTAGAGGCATGAATTGAATCTCTTGATGATTTTTATTGCTTTAAGGTACTTTTGTGAGAAAAAATTAAATGCTGATTATATGAGGTCGGGTCAAGTCCTGAATTTGAATCCTTCTACCATTCCTTGTTTGGTTACCTGGAACAATAATTAGAAAAATTGAATAGTCAATTAAATAAAGTATTTCAGAATCTTTTCTTTTCGAGCATTTTTAGCCAATATTACAGTCATCCATGAATTACGCAGTGGAACAGCCTTTAAAATATTCACAGAATCTGTCAAATTAAAAAAGAAAAAACCGTGAATCAATCATTCACATCATAATCTGATGCCAAATTATTGTTTTAAATTTTGCGTCACAGCAAATTTTTGGATTAAAAGCGGAAATATAAATGAAAATCGATTAAACTTGAAAAAGTGGCAACACTTTTCACGGTGCGAGGTGAAATTTTACCCCTATCCCTTGAGTTCCACTAAAAATAATGGCAACTTATGTTTATAAGGAGATTAAGGACAAGGGGATGATACCGATGCTTTTTTCGATGTTTTGAATTTGAAAAACCAGTTTCACTTAGTAAAAAATGCTACAATGAATGAGAGGGCATGTTTTCTTTTCCGATTGCTGTCTTGTTTCTAGATTTCTGCTGTTTGTCTCTTCATTTTTTTTCACTGCAGCTGACTTCGTTCCAATCACCAAAAAGTTGTCGGTGTCCCATGAAACCTCTAAATAAAACTTGCAGAGAAACGTGCTGAATTTTCTTTTCGGTTTCCCCCGAGGGGGAATTGAGGAAAACACTGTATACAGTACTTTCTCCGGTTACCTTTGTGGAATCGAAACTGTGATCACCTTTATATATATTTGATCAGAAGTTGTTTATTTAATAACGGACAACACCTTAAAACCTCTTGAAGCTAGAATTATTTAAGCGAGATCAGCAGAGACAAAAATTTCAAGAAATCAAACAGTACACATGATCACTGAATGATTTCGAGTTGAGTCTAATATTCGCCGAGGACGAGCTTCTTCATGCTTTTCCATGCTGAATTTTTTTTTCATTTCTTAAATTTCTAGTTTAATTAACGATTCTGAATACTGTATCCAACTAGTCAGCAATGCTCATGTAAAAAAAAAAATTCGAAGGCGGAGTAAACCGACTGAAAACTGAATCATCACACGAACTTTTAGAATGAGATGAAACTTTATTCCGTACCTCAACTAAGCTGCAAAATTCTTTGCTACCCAGCGAAACTTCCGGACAATCAAAACAAAAGCCTTATATCAGGGCACACACAATCAAATTAAAACCGCAGTCGCCGTGGTCTCATCGGAATCATCAGACGACTTGAAAAAAATAATAATAATGTCGCAAGATCATCAGAAAAAAACCCAAGCGAGAGCAAAAACCTCAAAAATAATCGAAAAGAAAGTTTTCGAGAATTTGCTGAAACTGGCTCTACGAACGAACGATAGAGGTAAGAACCAACACATGACCAGAAGAAAAACAACGCCCGAAAATCGAACACCAGCCCAAAATATGCAAGTCGAGAAACCATCACTCTCGAGATTCTTTCAAAACATGAAATTTTACCCCCTTCGAAATCAACCACGTCTATCGTCAAGTATTTTTTTTTCTCTTTTTTTCAACTTGTCAAAACAGAAATTTAAGGAACCGTCAGGTGTGCCATGTTGAATCATTAAAAACAAAATATTTGAAAAATTGGATTCTGGATCATTTGGACGCAATGCCTGGGACATTTTATAGCCGACATGAAATGTCTTTTGCCCCTGCAGTCTTATAATACAAAACGTCATGTATATGTGAACAGAACTGAAAATCCAACACAAAAATCCTTGAAAAAAAAAATCTTGTTGATCAAGAAGTCCTCGCAACTGATGCAAAAAAATTGACAGCACATGAACGAGAGAAAAAAAGTTCTACTTTAGAAAATGAAAAATGTAAGGCGTTCTCAGTTGTCTTTGATTTTGTCTCTCAAATCCTCATAATTCAACTCTTCCTCCGATGCGTTTTTGTTGTTGCTTTTTGTGTTTGATTCTTCCTCGATGCTCCGTCGAGTTTCGTTCCTTTTACCCCATTCCTTTTTTTTGAAGCATGATCAGCAAGTTTATACGAATTTTTAATGACTGACAATGATGTTGCACGGAGTTGTTATGTCGATTCCAGAGTCGTCGTCCAGCAACATGAGCAACTCGGCTTCGTCGTAAACTTCGCCGGGGATCAAAGCTCCTGATGGAATTAAAAAACAAAAACGATTATTTTTCAACATCCAAAAAAAAGGTAGCAAAATATATTCTTCGAAAGCCTTTGGAATTTTGCCAGAACACGGGCAGCGAAATTGATTTTCCATCTAATCCGTTCAAAAGGAAAAAATTTGCCGGGGAATAACGTATATTCGACAGGAAACATTTGACGTTTGCACACAAAAAAAAATTCAGGTCGCAGATCAATGTAATTTTTGCAGAAATATTTTGTGAAATGACGTGCTTTTTCCCGGTTCCCTCGTCGAATATGATTCAGATGAAGAAACGTACTGAATTTACTTGAAAATTAAACGCACCCGGTATCAGATTTTAACAAAAGTCAGAGCTCGTGTTTTTAAATGAATATTACATTGATATTAAGTTTGTGGGCGAACCGGAAAACCTGCACCTGTTCACAGACAACAATTAAACACGTCATAAATACTTTTCAAACCTTAATGAATGATCAACGAACTGTCAGAAGCAGTGCAAATGCTTTTAAGAAGAAACTTTCCACTTTCTTCATTCTCCATTCGTCAAGTGCCATTTTCCACGAGTTTAATTAACCAGAGGGTTAATTTTAATTAAAGAGAAAACTAGGGATCCTTCATTTTCATATCGAATCGATGCCCAGCGTTTGAAGAGATAATTAATTTGAAATTGAATTAAATTTTTGTACCCCTTGTATATTACTGTACTTGGTTCCTGCCCAAGGGGTTGCAAGCTAGTACAACGCATCTCTGACTTTTTTGTCAACTTTTCTCTATTTTGATTTTCAAAAAATAACTATCAGAGTCAGTAATGTCGAACATAATGTTGAATACCGTGCTTCGACCCACATCAAACACGGGAAACGAACTATTTTGATCAAGGAAAACTGTTCGAATTCTCGAAAGTCAAATTTTTTTTAAATATCAGCGGAAACTTTGAAAAAATTTTTCCTAAATTATTTTATACCTCATTTCTTCTCTGTTGTGGATAAATTCAAGACATTTGTCGATCGCTTTATGACTTGAGCATCTGTCGGCGGGTCTAGTACTTCAGAGTTTTCGAAATCGGGACTTCCCATTCGCAATTTATGTTTAGAAAATTTGCAGTATGTGGAAGCAGCTTCGTTTTCGGAAACGTACCGTGGGTTTGAATGCGTCGGATGGCGGAGGTGACGACGACGAACCCGTCGCTCGGGGTGTCGGACTCGGGAAACGACTTGGTGAGTTGCAATTTCGCCTTNTATATAATGTAAGTCTAAGGGATAGTGTGACTCAACTTAGGGAAATTTAGACTTAGGGACACTCTTGATGCACCAATTACGTCCGCATCTCGGGGTCTCAGTTATGGACTTAACGGATGAAAACTGTCAGCCTGAAAGCACCACTGTATTTCTCATTTTTATTTTAAATGCATTTTCTCACCCTCCCACGTCGATGGAAAAGTGTTTCGAGTCCCGACCGAAGCGTTGAATTGACAAAATCGGCCACTCGAGCAACTTGAGCTGAGGAGCGTCGATGTCCCACAAGTAAATGCGATCCGGGGCGACTTGCAACAAAACCTCTCCACTTATCACCGTCTTATGCGACGGGATCAGGTACACGTTGAACACCTCTGAAACACACCCCGGAAACGTCAATCACTGAGAAACCAAGAAATATGCTAGTATAAATGAATGGATTTATTTATTTTCATCAGCAGCAGCAGCTGCACCTCCGAAAGAGAGAAGTGATAAAAATCCCTGACGAGGGTTGAAATCTACTTTTCTTTCAGACCTGCTGGGACTAATCAGATCCCACAAAACGGCGGGGTTTTAATCGTGATAACGAAAACGCTGTTCTTATCACGTGAAGTTCCCGGAGTGCAGAATTTAGAGAATTAGAATATAGAGGCACAATTTCTCTGAAGAAATGTGAACCATAATTCCTGGAAATTTTTCAGAAATTCCATTTGATCCGAAATACAGTACATTTCAAAATGTATACATTTCTGGAATGAGATCATCAGCCTTCTGAAAATGTTTAGTTTCAGAAAAATTCAGGATTCTGAAATTGTTACCACATCAAAATAAAGTGAAACATATTACTTATTTCAAAGACTAATATTTTTAATTTAATCGACGAAATATTCCGCAGAAAATTTCGTCGACGCCAAAATTCCTCCACCACTTGCTCTCTTTTGCAATTTTCAGCTAGTTCACGTTTTTTTAAATTTTTGGCAGGACAATTTGTGGAACAAATGTGAATTCTTATAGTCGATTTTTTTTAAAAAACAATGGCAAGATTTTCAGAAATGTATTGCTTAGGTGGAAAACGAAGGCTGATATTTTTGAGGAATTTATCTTGTAAAAGTTACTACGGCTTACGAATTTTTCTTTTTGAATATCGAAAATGGTAAGAACCTGGATTTTTAGATAATTATTGCTTCGAATGAAAACGATGGGCTGATATTTTTGAGAAATTTACCGTCAAATTGAGCTGGAATAGACGCAAAAAGGCGGTTGTTTCGCATTCCAGTTTGTGTCGGGGTGAGGCAAAGACGAATGATGTGATCGATCCACTCGTCAGCTTCTTTCTCTGCAATTGATGAAATAATAAAACAACAAAAAATATTATAAAAACCACTGAAATAATCCAAGTCTCGAAAGAAATTCCAAGAATTCAATCGGTAGGCATTTGTCACATCAAAATTTCGTATGCGGGTATCACGTTTTCGTTGAGGCACCCGGAAGTTTCTTCGCATCAAATAAAAATTCGGATTAAATATTCCAACATAGCTATATCATGATGTAAATTGATGCATTTTTCTCATTTGGAGAACAGGAAGGGACGAGGAATGCAAAAGGAGAGCCGCAATATTTTCTCGGAAACCGGCTCAAAAACTTGCCAACTTTGAAAAAACGCTCTCTGGTGATAAGTACAAAAGTCAAAAACAGACCTCAGAAACAGATATTCGATAAAATTTTCTTCATATATCTGCATTTGAACGAGTTGGATCAGTCTTGTGCTTCTCTTTTTCTAAAGTTTGGCACAGTGCATCAATTGATGGGATCTAGAAATAATTTTTCCTGAAAAATAGCTTATATAATTTCTAGAATATGTATTCGATTTTCGCAGTTGAAAATTCGGTTTGTGATTTTGTTGATATGAGCTTTAATTTTCACTTGCTTCTTTTTCAGAATTTTCAGGCAATGTAAAACTCTATTGAAAATTTCAAATAATTGTATAGTCTCTCGATGAAGAATAATGTCTCGGATCTCGTGACTGGAAGTCAATTTCTAATCATCACAATTTCACGAGATGCTGAATAATGTGAAAGGAGCCCGAAAATGAGAAAAAGTGCCTGTATATAGTTGCATTGGGAGAAAATTATTCGCAAAATAATCGAGGAATCTATTCTCAAGTATTGATGAATATTTCGCCTAGTTTCGCAGGAATTCCAATTCACAAATTTCGGTTCCATGTCAAATTTAAAAAAGAATTATTTTTCAATTCCCGTGTGCTCGATATTTTTCAAATTCTCGGCGATAAATTTCGAAGACTTTTCCTCTTCAAGTAAATTTACCAGTGTCGCAGGCGATTGTGCGGCTGTTGCCGTCTTTGAATTCCACGCAGAACCCGGCCGGGCAAAATTCCAGCGGCAACCTGCTAACTCGGGAAACATCCTTCAACTCCAGGGTCGACTTGGGCAAAATATTGAGTCTCTTGTCGGGGGTGGAAGTGGCAGCATCTTTGTGCTGAAATCGATCGGGGTATTTATCGATGCGAGTAGATCCTTCGCTCGTCGCTCGACGCAACACAATCCACCTTCTCTGCCACATCTGAAATAAAAAAATCCAAAATGAGTTCAAGGTATAATTGAATCCAATTCCTCATCATTTTTCAATCTAAATCAATTTCAGAAAATTCAGCCTTCCAATGCTAAGAAGCCGACATTATTCAAGCAGGACTGAAAGTGGGTTTTGCAAAATAAAATTTTCAATTTCATCGTATACTGCGGAACGCGCTGTTTTACATTCGAAACGTGCCGATTTGATGCAAATTTATTATGAATTGTAACAAAATTCACAGGAAAAAAATGGAACGAGACCCGTTCCAAGGGTCTCATGGAAGAAAATCATAGATCGGATATACTCCCGAATTTTAAACCGAATCTTTATTTAAATAATTTCAACAGAATTCACATGAAAAAAACGAGACCCGCGTTTCATCAATAATACTAAAAATTTTAAATCGGTAAAAAAAAAGTCGGAGTAGATATCTAAAATAATTAATCTAAAATATATATCTAAAAAAATTATCTAAAACAATTTTCATTTTACGAGAAGAGGTCCAGAATTGTAATTTCCATGAGATTCCACACAATTTTCAATTTAAAAAATGATGTTTTTTTCAGAATAAGTGACAAAATCTTGCGGAATTTTATGCCGAATATTTAATGAAATGACGAGATCGACACGTGGTGGAAGTCCATCTCCCTATATACATGAAGGATTAATGATAATATAAACCACGAGTATCGTGACCATGTGGTCTCCTCGTGTCCATCAGAACGATGATGTATGCTGATCTTATTTATTTGCGTTTATATTATCTCAAGGCGTTGACTCGCTCATCCCAGCGATGCTAAAAGGATGATTCCTTTTTCGAACAGACTAAATAACCCACGACATGAACGCGTGAAACAAAGACGCAAATATTCCATGTGATGATTCCTCATAAGTCGCAGGGAAGCCGTTCGTTGGCTGGGTTTTTTCTTTTCTGCTTCCTAAAAAGGTATTCTTGGGGGGGACAGGGTCGGGAACTGATCGTCGGGACTTTTGCATGAAATGCTGATACGCTAGAAATTCGGAGAAGTCTTTTGCACCACACACACACTAGAGAGTAGGTGAGGAATGGTGGAGACGAACCCGTCTTTTTTTTTTACTCTTCTTATTAACATTTTCATCATGGCACCTGCAAGAAAAAAATAAGATTCGGATTCAAGAAATAAAATAATTTTGGGAGCCATTTTCATTCCATGTACCTCAGACACTTGAAGAAAATTGGTCTCGCATGAAGAACTGGAAAATAATTTTGCGACACTCAATATTGTACCAAGAAAATAAATTAGGATTCGCTCACTGAAATTATTCGTAATCATTTTCCCACTACATAAATTTGTCTGTTTCACTTTGATAACTACAAAAGGGATCCTGCATGGCAGAAAAATCGGAGTAAGCCTCTTGTCAATTAATTCTAATCGTAATTAGATAAAATACTGGATACTATAGAAGCTGCGGAAATTAATTTTCATTTCGCACAATTGCGTCATTTTCTACTCTTCCTGATGGAATTCTCCTCTTTAGCTATCTGAATTTGTCTTGGTCATTATGAAACCTATGAAACAAAACCCGAGTTGCGAAAAAGAATAAATTGTGTCATTCGATTATGAAACGAAAATTGAGTGAAGAAATTTGGATTCGCACACTGGAATAAATCTGCCTCAGTTTTCTTCTTGGTTAGATTCACACTTTTCCTAAGGTGAAATCGCTGGCAGAAATTCGGGTTCACGAATTGTAAGTGGAACAATTTCCACTCAACTCAAGTTCAAGTGAAGTTAT